TATTGTATTAATTTCTTTTCATATTTATTTTTATATATAAAAATTATATATTGTGTTCATATATCTTTGTTTTAAAAATTTATTGAAACAAATTTGTGTGGATATTCTTGATATATACTTCTTATAACATTTAATACGATAGTTTATTGGAGGAAAAATATTCAATTTTTCTGAATTGTTATATTAAAAAAATCGTTGTTTCTGTAATGATTTCGTTGAAACTCGATTCAATTATTATCAAACGGAAATCACATACTAGAGGTGAGGAGGAATAATTCAGATAATCCTGATATAAAAGCGTAACAAACGCGATGAATGAATAAATAAACTTATTTCGATATATTAATCGATTTATTTTAATAATTTCATTCCCTTTGAATCGTAAACGCATCCCCGATGCGGCAAAAACATTGATTTCCGTTACTTTTTCCCATGAAACTGCCAACTGACTACTTGACCGCGGGGGGTGTTGCCAGTGGATCCCACCTGTTGACTTTCCGCAACGTGACTTTGTTCCTGCTCCTTCTACGCGAGTAGATTAACATAATGCTTTCAACCGTTTCCATTAATCTTGGAGGAACGATCGCTTGAGAATACGTGGCGTACTTAATTCACAAATTATGAACTTTTTCTTGGTAAAATTATGCAAAAAATATTTATCATAAGAGAATATCAGCGCAAAAAGCTAAATGTATTATTATCATTTCATATGTAGCATATGTAATCTATTTTTTTTATTTCTTGTTTCATAGCTAAAATTTGCTATTCACATCTTTCTGTTATTTTATTTATGTATTAATATCTAACAATTTTGAAAAAGATGGCATTAACATCGTTCGCAGAAAAAAATTATTTTTAAGATTTTACTTTTCAATATCCACAATTTATCTTAACATACTTGGATCAGTTATTTTTTCTTTGTTTATATCTAAAGACAATTTATAATTTTTTTTTTTAGTTAATTACACCATTATTTTATATTTATTTTGGCAAAATTTAAAAAATTCTCATTCTTTATTGGGGCTATTTTTTTGAATACCGCATTCGAGCGAGACCGTTTCGAGGGTGAACTTGAAGTCAGCCGCATCCTTCATTGTCTAAATTCACGGCATGCCGCTACGAATTAGTCGTGGAGAGAGGAACGATTAACGTACTAAAGGCCGGGGGAGAGATGGTAGTATGGCGTTGGGCGTAGTTGGTGGTACGGGGATTGTGCCCGGTTCCCATGAAGGTCCGTTGGGGGCCATCACTCGACCATATGGTGGAAACAAGTGTAGCGGCAGATTTAAATAACCGTTGGAGGTCGGATATCGTTCAAACTCAAAGTTGGATCATACTCGTGTACGCTTAGACTTTCAAGAATTTATTTAAAAAATAAAGAATTAAAAAAAATTGTTCAACATTTAGCTACAACTTACTCTTTTCAATTTGTCTGCTATGTATATTGAAATAAGCCTCTTTTTTTCCTATATTTGTTTAACAAATTTTACGAGATATTTGCATAAAAGCAGAGTAAATTTTGACAAAAGAGAACTGATTGATAGACGCTAGTCTGTACACGTATTCGCGATACTCTTGACGGTAGCAGCGATGCCAGTTGTGTGTTCAATCATTGATAACTGCACCTCGTCTCCTTCATGGGTTTCTGATTTTACCTGCCGTTGCGCTCTGATATTCGGAGGTGAAACGCCGCAGGGGGGTTGTCGAGACTCACCTGCGATTGGCTGGTCCCCAACGTCGCTTGTGCCAATAGCGAGCGATACTGAACACCCCCGCTTGCGTTTGCAATCACCGGACGGTGTACCGTCAACTAACTAGAACATCATTGTGTCTATTGTCTTCGCGATCGCTTGTGTGTCGGATCGTATTTGTTATAAGAAGGTAAAGGTGACAGAGTGACAGTGGGGTATAACTCGAATCGCATCGTGACCAAACGCGGTTTGCCTACGTTTCAGCGTAAAATCGTATTACAAATGTGGTAGATGAGTTCCCAATATTTGAGAGAGGGATTATTAATTAGACGGTAAATATATTTTATAAAATAACGACGCAAATAATTATATATACATTCAATAAATTAGTATATGCGTGTGTGCATTTATTACATTGTTGATATATAAAATTTTTATTAATAATAATTAATTATTTTATCACAATATTTATTAGAAATTTTTATCCCTGCGCAAATTAATTTATAATTAAGATATTATGTAATTTTAATCACCGAAGTTTCGGGATATATTATATATAATTCATGTTAAAATCCTGCTTATAAATTAGTTTTGCGTATAAATAATTAATGAAAATGTCTGGTTCAACAACAAATACAAATTCGAGCGCGCGAATAATTTGACAACGCGATTAAAAGGGCGATATAATTACGCGAATGTTGTAGTGAGATTTAAAGTCGGCGATATTTAACGCAGCACACACGAGTTCGTCGAAAATTATTCCCGTCGGTTCTACGAAGTTAGTTAAATCATCTTGAATCCCGTAGGAACGCCGAGAGGGTTCTTCGTTTTGTAGATCAGACCGATACTGCCGCTTCGATTTCATAATTCAGGAATAATTCACGAGTGTGTCCACTTGTCACGACACGCTCCTGTCGCCCTCCTCGCGCGCGGTTCTGGATCACGTAATTCGCCCGCATCGCGACGGGTCACGTATCATCGTTCGCAAGGGGTTGTAATTTATAGAGCTATGACCACTTGCGTACACACATACATTAGCACTTACACTTGATAATGTGAATACTCTTGTAACCTGCATTTCATTCGTCATTTGCAGCTTCGCAGCACAGCGGAACCGTCGACGAGGACAAGGAGGACGAAGAGGAGGGGGAGACGAGATGCACCGTCTGCGACAAACCGTTCCAAGATATTGAATTGTAAGCACTTATCGCATTTATATTTATGCGGTTTTTTTTAACGTATCAGAGAATAAAGCGAAGAAATAATTGTATGTGCTTATACTACTTACATTGAAAATTTGGCTTAAATCTAACATATATCCCAAACAGATCCACACAAATTTCAATTTAACATAATACGGATATATTAAATGCTAACATTAATACTATGTTAATATTTCAATACAAAATGATTGCAAACTTCATAGTAATTTGAAATAAATTTTGTGTAAAATCAATATATTTTTAATGATAAAATTATATAATTCATTGTTAGAAAAAATATTATTGATAGTCCGTAGTCATTCTCACTCTTATTATAAAATAAAATCAATTTTTTTCTGTAAATTTAAACAGATAAATTCTGTCACTAATAAGAAACATATCTATTGTGCAAAATTAAAAATATGTGCACATTGAATTATTTTTACACTTTTTTCAATTGTTTTAATAATTTAACATTTCAGAGTTCAATTAACACAACAGCAAATATTAAATGAGCACATGAATTTTGTTAAATATTTGACACAAAAATTTTAACCGACATATTTTTTACCAAAAAAACATAAATTTTCCAACTGTGTAATTTCCTGATTCTGGTTCTTATTGAAAAGACAACTTAGGTTTCGGATTCGCGCGAGTTCGCTTGGTGTTCTTAAACCGTTATCGCTTCGTGCGATCTAACGACCGGCAATAAAGGAAAAGAGGAAAGGGTTAAAGACAAGTATATACGCGGCAAGACCAGACAGATCGCGAGAAAGACTCCTCGCGAGAGAGGAGAGGATCTTCTTCCGAGCGAAATGTCAAGAAGCAGACGGTTAATTCTCAGCATTTACCGAGGCAGCAGCCTGACCCAACTATTCATTAGACGGGAGTGCAGGTTGTATTCTCTCGTAGTTTCTCGTGTTCTCTTCCCCGTCGCTCGATGCAACAGAAGGACTCGAGAGGAAGGGAGAGTACGAGAAGAGAGAGGGAGAGGTTGTGCAACCCGGCTCGATTCACTTATCACGTCCTCCGCAGAAACGAGACCCCGATCGAGCTACAAACATGTTGCAGCGAGAGCTGATGTAGCAAGGTGCACTTACGCCGATCACCTTTTCGGCAACCGCGAGAGAGAGAGAGTTTCCGGCAGAGCCAACGAGCGTTGCTCGATTTTACAAAGTTGTAATTTTCGTCAAGATTCGATTGTTGGACGAATTCAATTCAAACGGGAATCGGAGATTTAACAATTACATTGCATTCTCGGAGATCCGACCTTTCGGAAAATCACTATGTTTTTTTTTTTTT